AAATTGCTGAAGTGCTGTAATGCCTCATCTTTCACACTTGGTCTCAAAGAAAGGTGCCCACAAGCTGAGTGCAACACCATGTGTTATACCATGAGTTACTCCCATGGAGCAGTACTCATGAGCAGCCTTTGAGTCAGTTGAGCTGCCCAAGAAAGTGGGTTTTGGAGAGCACTGGGAATGATCCACTGGGGCAATGAGATTCACCTACCTGCCTCTGTAGGATTCTTCATTCTTGAAATTCTCACTGCATATAGTCCTGTTGACCTTTTAATTTTATTACATACAGTCACATCTATGTTTTTTGAGGAAGAGATTTAAACTGAAGACTCAAAAAAGTAGAACAGGGATCTTCAATAAAGTACATTTAACTTCACCTTCAGAACCAAGCACTTCTCTCATTTTAATATGCCAAATGCAAGTAATTTCCTGTCCCATCCAGAACTTTAGGAGGACATGAATTAACACAGGAGAGACAAATGTGTAAATAGACTTTTATATAATGAATTGACAAAAAGTGATGTACATTCCTCAAATGAGCATCCAGACTCCTAATATTTTTCACCAAGCTACCATGCTATTCATTGGTTTGAACTAGGTAAATGTCCATTTACTGTTCAGACATCTCACAATCTGATTTTTGAGAAACAGAAAGATCTTTAAAAAATCTTAAAGATGTTTAAAAAGCATCTTTAAAACATTAAAGATGTGTAAAAAGCCCAAATATCAAAATGGTTATTTCTCTCTTGCTGCCTATTTCTATTTTGTGTTGTGTTTACTGCCCCTATGCTGAGATTTCCATATTCAAAATCACTTTTCTCATGGTTTCATTGGCTGCAATTGTATAGTTAAACGTACCCATCACAAAATAATTCTCTCTGGGACTGATGAACAGCATAGTCTCCTTTGACTCTGGGTAAATTCCTGACTCTGTTCTCTAGGTAGTGTCTGATAGTGGGCAAATGCATTTTTCAGGTATTTGTTCTCATGCATGTCCAGTTATTAGGAGAATGTCCAGTGAAAGCTGTTTTGTGGGGTTTTTTTTTCCTCCCAACCATCTAAGTTTCATATATTTAAGTTCCATAGGACAGCAAAGCACTTATATTGTATATATATTGTAAACATAAGCCATTAATTTCTGACCTTGCTGTTGGGTGCAGTGACAATGAAAAGTATAATTATATTCCAGCTGTAATACTTAGATTCCATTGTTTTTATGACAGATTGCATATGTCTTAGTTTCTACTCTGATGAAATAAAAAGCCTTATTAGACAAAAATATTGTGGATAGTCTCTTCTACTCTGACAGAATTTTTTTTGGCTGTATAAATAGTTAAAAATATTTAATTTTCAGCCATTTAATTTAAATATGATATTTTAATAAATATATAGTAATTGAATAAATATGTATTTCAGTACTTAAATGATTTTGTTTTGCAATTCATTAGATTCTGAAAAGTGCTCTGTCGGTGTAGTTCTCTTCCACTCAGATCAAAGGCATCATTTCCTAAGCAAAAGTGTTAGTAGACTTATTTTGAAAACCCCTTTAGTAACTAATGTAAATGGCATGCATCATATGCTAATCTCCTGGTTGCTTTATTTATAGATTAAAAATTAGAATGGAAAAGAATTTCCTAACATCACCTTTAAATACACATTTTTGAAAAAAAATGAAATAAACAGTACAATCCAGCATATTTTAAAGCAATCACACCTATTTTCCTTGAATGAAAGAGTATTTTGCTCCTTGTTTCCAATTTCATGCAGTCTAAAAGCCAGCAGGTCTGTAGCATTATATTATGCATAGATTTGTACCTGTGAGAGGGTCTGCATATACACTCACCCACCCAGCCCCCCCAGATTTTGAGGGATGACAAATACTGGGGTGCTTTCTATTAGCAATTTTGGCTTTTGATACAATTACTTAGTAGAGAATAATCACTCTGCAGCAGTCTGGATGAGGAAATAAAGCCTCCGAGTTCCAGATTTAAGTTTAAGCAGTGGGTTTGATGAAACAAGCTCTTTAGGAGGATTTGAGTTATCAAGGCCACTGTGATTGATCCCCATGATCTTCTGACCAGTGCCACTGTCCCCTAATGTTCAGCGCTGTGTCCCACATCTCACCCTGCCTCAGCAGGGCAGAGCCCACGTGTGGTGCCAGGGCAGGGTGGGTGGTGGCTCCAAGGGACCAGTGGCACCTGCCAGGTGGGTGGCTGGGATTTTCCCCGTGCCACTGCCCTGCTGCCTGCTGGAGGTCTGCCATCTTCACACCTCAGCTTAGCTTCTGTGGGCAGGTGGCAATGTCTGCAAGGTATTTTTTATTACATAAAGTAGAGCCCAAACCAGCTGCCAGCTGCTGTCTGCCCAGATTTCTCCTAATTCTGAATCAGATCACCAGACAGTGGGAAGGATCTCAGCTTGTTTACATTTTAAGTCAAGGACTCAAAGGTGAGACCTGCATCCAAGCTTTCAGTGTTTCTACTTCCCACTTTAGGGAAATAGAATAACCTTCATAATAGGTTAGCCAAAAGGAGAAAGGCACAGACCTGTGTTGTCATTATAGTGCAAGAGTTCTATTGTCATTACATTGCAAGGGCTCCATATTGCTAGTTTCCTACCTCCTTGATGTTTCTCATAGGTAGCTCCTCTAGGCACTAGCTCTTCCTTCTTCTCACAGCAGCCAACTGACTCCAGTTCCCCTCAGCCAACCAATCCACTCTTTTATAACACTCTTCTCATTGGCTACAGCTGCGGCCTGTTAACATCAGGCCTGCTCCTAATCCTTAGCAATTGACTCAGCTGCAACTCTTTAGGGGGTAAGATTACTTTCTATACTACCTTTATTTACTTATGTTCTATCCCCCTACAAACCTGTGTTTGTGAGGTGTCCTCATCTCTGCTATTGCAAGGTTAATAGATATCTCTTCAGCAAGACAGTTCCAGATCTTGGCACCTTTTTTGTCTGCTAGCAGCTACTCTTCACCCAGCATGGTGCAATGGTACAGCTCTACCATTCTCACCCAAAATGGTGTACTGATACAGCTCCAGTATCTTCACCTGAAATAGTGCAATGGTGTACAGCTCCACTATCCTCACCCATCATGGTGCTATGGTGGAGCTCCACTATCCTCACCCAACATGATGCAATTGTACAGCTTCACTAGAGGCAGGCTGTCGGCTTCTGCAGCTGCCCGTGGTGCCAGGCTGGCCCAGTGCTCTGGGGACTCCTCATACAGCAGGAGTAGGGAGATTATTTTTATGTAAGTGTTTAGGTAAGTGTATACCCTAACCAGAGTCTGTAAGAGTCTATGCAGGCCTTATGACAGGCTCCATCATCTCTTTTCCTTGGTGTATTCCAAGAGCAGTTGGATTGCAGGGTGCTGCTCAGGCCTGGTTCATCTCATCCATCCTCCCTTGAAGATGCCCATTGTCTCTGCCTGAGGCAGAGCTTCTAGGGCCATTGTCTCTTGAGGGTGCCCATTGTCTGTGCCTAGGAGCTGCTGGGGCCTGGTGAAATCAGCCTGGGCTGTCCTGAGGGGCTTTTGAAACAGAGTGCAGCCAGAGGAGGTGTCAGGTGCTGCAGCCTTATTTGCACTGGAGATACAGACTGGTACAAACACCTTGAACAAACCTGGCTGTCTTGGGCATCTCTGACAAAGTCGCAGAATGGTCAAAACGTCTCTCATTTTCTGCTTAAACCACTTACACCTCAGTAATTTTTGGACTAAATTCATTGAACAGGAGAACTGTAAAATGACATGACAGGGAATTGAGCTCAAATGTGCAGTATCTATACCACAGGAGGAACAATGCTGTGGAATTAATTGAATTTACTGACTTCAGTGACATTTTATAATGTATCCTCTAATTAATCTGTATACAGCATGTGAATTTTGAAGAGTTAGAAACTGAGTCTAAAATATTAATATATATATATATATATATATATATATATAAAGAAAATGCTTAAGTGCTTTTTTTTTCTGAAATATGTAGCCTCTGTGACTAATGGTTTTATTACATTTTTAGGCTGTGTTGCTAGTAAGAAAAATGCTTAATTTTAAAACACTATTGTTTTTATTGATGATGCAAGTGGACCACTGAGGCGCAGCCTATATGTATTCATGTTTGATTTTTAATAGCATAAATGTATATTGATCCAATCTAATACTGTGCATAAAAGGAAACTACATAAATACTGCATTGTGTGTCAAAGGCCTTTAGTTTTGGTACAATAAGTATCTTTCCACTATTACCAGGAGGAGTAGCTATCATTAGCTCCCAACAATGCTAGTATTTTTCAATATTTTATGTTTAGTAAAGGAAGAGAAAAGGTTTCTGGATGTGAATCTGAATTTATGTTTCAGCTGTTGTAAATGCTCTTAACAGTGTGATTTTTCTTTATGCTGTGTGAAGCTTAGCTCTGTATCTCAGCTCTTTGTATAACCATTGCAACAGAGGTTGCAGGTGAAATAATGATAATATGGTACTTGAAATAAAGTGATTTTGCTAACAGACCAGTGAACATTGTCCATTTATACAGAAATTGTGTTTTAACCTGTGCTGAGTTTACTCCACAGCCTGATTAAATAGTTTCTTGCTTGGGAAGGAAATGTGCCTGTCTACTTTAGGCTGGTCAGTGAGGAAAAGATTTAACTTTCTGTAGTTTAGAGTAGTGCTTTTGGCATTGTCTCTGTGATCCAGGAACATGGTGTTAGATGGTGTTAAGACCTACATCCAGTAAGTTGGAAAGTAGGATGGCATAATAGACAAGTGAGTCAATTGTCTTGTACTGTAAGAAGTACTGAAAATATTTCTTGTGATCTAACCATGACTTCTCATGACCTTGTTTTGACACCATGACTCAATGACACAATTTTATCCCCAGGAGAAGTGGATTATTAACTTCCTGTGGGCCGAAAAACTGGAGAAGCAGTAAGGTTATTTGTGGTTGTTTATTTCAATCTCTTTCTGACACTTCTCTGCCTGCTGATTCTTCCTAGTGCCTGGAGCCCTGCAAAGAGTCCTGGGACCTGAAGAAAAACCATTGCCAAAGCTTCTGTGAGGTAGGTCAGCCCAAGGGCACGCTTTCTCACTTTGTTCTAGCAGCCTCTTTAATTTAAATTATTGGCTTCAAGGAGACAGCTGAAAACCATGGTATTTCGGCAGCATTTGCCTTTATTTGAAAGGATACATTTAAGAATGTAGCCATATTAATTTTGAGTTAAAAATGGTTTTTTTCCTGACCAAATTATTTATCTGGACTTGTAAAGACTCAATCCAGTCACACATAGCATCTCTCAGAAGGTGCTCTGACATCCTTCCTCTTAAGCTGCTATTTCTACCACTTGCCCTTTTATCTTTTCTGACCAAGTGCAAGGAAGGCAATCTTTGTTTAAAAGATAAAATGTTATTGTGTGAAAAATTCTTGTGCAGGATAGCTAGAACAGATGACTTTTCTGTATGTGAAAGTCAGTCTGATTTATAGAAGAGTAGTTCCCCAGGAGTAACTGGATTGATGTTCAGAAGACTAATATCAAAATATGGAATTATTCAAGGGCAAATGTTTTGAAAACTATTTTTGAACCATCTATCAGAATAATCTGTGAAGAAGCAAACCTGAATCAGTCAAACTAGAACAAAGAAGGAGATTTTTTATTGGATTTAAAACATGGCTCTGAGTTGGTGGAAGTGATCTGTTGCCGTTCTTAAGTGGTTTTTAGTTCAAAATGGAAGTATCAGCTTAATAGAAATTTGCCTTATTACAAAAAAGGTTCAAATATATTCAAGTCTATGAAAGTGAGTTCTTAGGAAGACTTTAATCTTTTCCTGTAAAAAAATAGAAATTACCTTACTTGATATATTGATCTTACTGGTACACTGATTTAACTCCTTCTCTTTACTGTGGACACTTTTTTCTGGTATAAGAGAATGTCCTATGTTTAAATTATTTTAAGCATCATGAAGATGATTAGAAAAAGCTGTAATTTCAACTAAAAAAATATTAGATGCAGCAATTTGTTAATAGGGATTACTAAATTACTGATCTATGTAGTTACCACAGAAGACAAAATAAAAGTTTCTCATGAAAACCAAGCCTTGCAATAATTTTTTATCTCAGATTATTTGCTACTTTGGCAAATACAAATTCTAGAGTACTGTAAAAAAGCAGTTTTGGTGGATCTAATTTGTGTTGTTCTTGTATATCACTCTTCACTCAGACTATGTGTTTCCAGATATGGGTGAAAATTTGTATAAAATCGGTTTAAAAGGAAAACATTTGTAGAACACTGTTCTATTGTAGTTAAAAACAGTGAGCATCCTTCTTTGATTAGTGTTTTGTGGTTAAAGCTAAATTTAGAACTTCAAAGGCCCGTAATGAGGAGCAGCACATTTAGCAGCTAACTGAAAAATGAGCTGTGAAATAGGGTGAGGAGGAGAAGCCTTGAGGACGTATTATGCCTCAGGGAGCTATAACATTTTTAATTAAGTAGCTGCAAATTTGTGATGTTTTAGGATTTGAAATTAGCTTCAAACACAAAAGCCCGGGACCACTTTCCTTTATCTCAGACTCATGCATACTCCATGGACATTGATTGAGTGAAAGGAGGCTGTTTTCTTGTGAGAGTGTTTTCAATCTTTCTGCATTTTGTAAAAAATCTGGAAGCAACAATTTAGCAATTTGTGTTTCTCAAAAATTGTGTTCCTGCTTCATGTGTTACTTCTTGTTTACCAAATGAGTGTATTACTGAATGTTAAAGGGAACCTTATGTCTGAGGGACAATTTATCTGATTCCTTATTTTTGTTTTTGTTTTTTTTTTTTCCCTATAAAATTAGTTTCCTACTCATTTAGCTTTTTAACTGGTTAACCATGGCATCAGGTGCATTCCAATGGGGGGAAAGGCAGGAGTGCATTTCCAAGAGTCACTGGGGTCTGTAGGAGGCATAGAGACTGCTCATTTTTGCAGCATTTAGGCTGGTTAAAGCCTGTAACACCCAAATCCATGCCTGAAAGCTTGGTTCAAAATCCTGGACTGTTCTGTATAAAAAATGGGAGAGATAATGTAGGGATACATTTTTGTGCCGCAGCGACTTTAGAGAATTGTCTGTGAAACACCTGAGCCTCTGTAATAGCCAAGGCTTCCTCATTTCATGAGAAATATGGGAAGAGTAAAAACAAGAAAATAAAACATTTGAATATGGAAGAAGTTTTAGAGATTACGTGCCTGGCTGGATATAGAGAGTGGGTTGTAACTCCTGTGTAGGCTCAGGAGCCTGTAAATCAGATCTGTCAGGGTGGAAGGTTTTTGGTTGCTCTGGTATGGCAGGGCCAGCTGCAGACAATGCCAGTTACATGCTGCAGTCATTCTGAGGGAATCACTTTAGCTGGTTCTGCACCAAACTAAACTAAGAGGAGATGTAATTTCCATGTCACACACCATATTCTCCCAGGGTCGTAGAAGCTATTTTAAATACTCTTTTAAGTGGACCTTGCAAACCTCTGAGTGTAACATATGCTGTAAAATGTCTATGCATTGAAGCATCTTCTTAAATATCTAGGACTAGATTTCTCAAGTAAGTAGCATTCACTTTGATTTTTAATCAATATCTTGGAAGCTTATTTTAATTTTTATTTTTTGCTGATCATTTTATCAATAAATGCAGTTCCAGTTCCATGAAGAATTATACAATTACTAATATGCTGGCAAGAACATAAAGATGCTGCAAAATCTTCTCTTAGCCAACTTTGTTCAAACAGTATAATGAAACAAGATTTCTCTTATTTATCTAGAATGGCATTACATCAGATATTGTGGGGAAAGTGTTGTAAAGTACAGAGAAAAGAATGCGGGGTAGTCCAAAAACAGCAGACTGTCTGACCATTGCTTCCCCTTTGTTTTGGGAGTGTTTTTAATCTGTCATTGAGCAACTTTATAGCCAGTCAATGTGAGGAAAACAAGGGAAAGCTGGCAGATATAAACAACACAGTTCCATTAAATATGGTGGTCTTACTTGAGGGAATTCATCATTCTGTACTTGGAATGCTTTTTCAGAAGTGGCTTGAATATATAAATATTCAGGGATAGTCTTGCAAGTCTTGCAAAAGCTGGAAATCTGAATAATCCTTTAGGAGGTCTTGGAAAATTTATAACATTTTTTCTTTGATGGGGTTTGGTTGGGATTTTTTTTTTTCATTGTTCCTGTTGAAAACATACCCTTCTTCTGTTTTCTTTTCAGCCTCTTTTCCCCAAGAAGAATTATGAATGCCTAACTAGCTGTGAATTCCTTAAGTACATCCTGTCTGTGAAGCAAGGGGACTGCCCTGCACCTGAGAAGGCCAGTGGTTTTGCAGCTGCCTGTGTTGAAAGCTGTGAAGCTGATATTGAATGTTCTGGAGTGAAGAAGTGCTGTTCCAATGGATGTGGTCACACGTGCCAAATTCCAAAAAATCTCTATAAAGGTAGAGATTATTCATATGTACTCATACTGGGCTAACAACTTCAGGCCATGGTGAAGTCTCCTAGTAAACCAGGACTCCCATTTGCTGGGAGTTTGTATGGATGGGAAGAAAAAGGAGAGGTGCCTGTAGAAATGTGGCTGCACAGTGAAAGGGTGGAAAACTAGTGAGAAATGTTGCTTAAATTTCTGATTTTTCCCCTTTGTGAAGCCCATGTCTGAAAATCTGTGGAATGTAAATTTGTGGCTGAGTCAGCTTAAGCAGAACAAACTTTCCCAATTTAAGTGAAATCTCACTTTATTTGATGCCAATGAGAGAGAATGCAGCAGGAAAATATTTAATGATAAACAGTTCAGGTAATCAGAAATAACATTTTTGTCTACAAGCCAAGCAGATGGGACTACCAAGTAGGAACTGTGAAATAATCTGCTTAAAGAAAAATCAACACAGAACAACATAGTGCAAGATTTTAATATCTGCATACAGATGTATATTAATTCATTATTTGAATCTAAGGCAATCTTATTCAAAAAAATGTAGTTTATTTGAGTCCTGAGATTCTGTGAATAAACCTTTTCTTTGACATCCTTGGAAAAGAACATATAAACTAAGAAATTTTTTGCTTAGACAAATTTCAGAGTTTAATTGACTGGAATTTAAAAAAGCTTTATACACTTAAATATTTAAAAAATGTTCTCCTAATGCAGAAAAATAAGAATGTGTGAAAATAATATTCTTTTACCACGTGGTTGGTGTTTTTGTATAAGAATAAAATCTTCTTATGTCAGTGATAAAAAATAAATATTATTCAGTTATTCACTTATTATTCAGATAGAGTGGGCTCTCTGTGGGAGCCTAATCAGCAGAACTCTGATCTAAGCTCCAGGCTTAGGTTTGAATCCATGCTTATTTCCAAATGTGGATGGAAACATATAAAATGGGTAAAGAAGATGGTGAATTTATTTTTAAGTTCATTACTTTAACTAAGATGTTGATAAATCTTTTTCAGTGTGTTCAGAAAGGAAACTGTCTTGTTTGCAGGATGCTTTAGAGCAGCCCTTTTAAAACTCTAAGGAATTGGTACACACCAACACCTAGCACCTTTCAAAATGAAAGTTATTAAAATGGATCACTTACTCGTTTCTTTTGTCTTACTGAGACAAATGACCAGAGTGGTAGAGAGGCATTCATGTTGTGTGTGTAATGATTTACACATTCAAGCTCCATGCCACAACTGCAAAGCATTCCAGTAAATATAATAACTGGAGAAGGTAAAAACAAGCAAGCAAATAAAACAAGATTAGATGCTCCTGGAGCTGACAGAGCATATGACAGGATGTGATACATTCTGTAACCACACACTGGAAGGTCTCCTCTGTTTGGCCTGATTAAATGGGAGCAGAACTAACCTTCCCTAACATCTTATCACCGATCTGCAGGAGGTGCTGGCTTGTAAGAGCATATATGTCTTGCAGAGGAAGGGCAAGCTCCGTACCCTACTGCCTTCTCAGCTGATGAATTCAGCTAATTAGCCTCTTCAACCTGTCTTACTGCAACAAAAGACAAATAGAAGTGGAGCAGCCTTGCTATTCATTTCCTCCAGGGGTAAATGACCTTCCTGTCACTAAGGAAGAGCAAACTCTGCAAGCATGACTAAGATCCAGTGAATAAGTTCAGTACTTATTCTTATCATTTTGACAGCACTCACAGCTTGAAAATGAACTCAGATTGAATCTAAGAGTCTGCAGAAGTTTCCATAGTTTCACTGTTGATCAAGTGCTGGAGACAGTAGACATAAAATTCCCGTCTGATTTGTTGGATTACCAGACTGAATTTGCTCTCTAATACTGAGTGCTTAAGTCCAATCCTAAAAAAAAAAAAAAGTTAATATAAGTACACTGCCACCAAAGACATATTACAAATGCTTTTGGATTAATGTAACAAGTACATTTGCATCTCTGTTGGGAGTATTACTAATTGGTTATGTAGTCTTCACATATTTATATCCCTTTAGTGGAAATATCAAATATTCTCTCCTAATCTTATGGCCTCACTCCCCCCTTCTTTACGCTGTCTCTCTCTAACTAGTGAAGGACTTGAGAAAGTGTCTCTGCAAATCTGTGAAAAAAAGGTAAATTGTGAAGGGAAGATTCGGGCATTCATAGGGTCTGATGATGTGGCAAGATTATGGCAGGATAACTGGGGTCAGATGGTCACCCACAGTTTTATGACTCTTCATGCTTAAAGCAAAATAGTTTTGTATTATAAACATAGTGTACAGTTTTAAGTGTGCTCATCTCTGAGTGCTTGCAGAACTGTGTGTGCTATTGTGTAGATGCCATGGATGTACCCTTTGCAAGGCACTCTAATGGAGACATTTTGAATTCTGGGGGAACCAATGTTTAAGATACTGGTTTTCATGACACACTAGTGTGCAGCTACTTTTCATGGCACTGAGATGCATGTGCTGTTTGAAAGACACATTTAGAACCATTTTTCCTGGACTCTGCTATGATACACATAAAGTGATCAGTGATTTGAATTCTTTGGTTAAGCACTGCAGACTTTGGACTAAGGCAAACTTTGGAGCACTGCAGACTGAGAGCTAATTTGTTCCAGCATGAAAATAGGGGCTGACCACTTACATAAGAAAAGGCACATTGAAGAGTAATTGGATCTTCATATCTGGATATTAAACTGATGGTGCTGGTTCCACAGAAGTATTTTAAAGTGCACTTGTGCCTGCTCTCATTGTTTGTGCTGCCGTGCTCCATCTGCACGCGATTACATAACACTGAGATCCTTGCAATCAAGTGAATCCAACTGCCCCTAATGCAAAGCAGATGGAAGGTTTCTGAACATGCAAATTGTGGGATTATTGTGTATCATAACTAAAGAAGGATTTGCAAAGGTGGAAATCCGAAGTCACGTTCATTATGTTAGGCTATGACATTAGGCTATTGAAGGGTATCCAGGGTCTAAACTGCTGTGATAACCACATTTAGGTACTGTATTTTTTTTTCAGGTGGATTTTAGGTTTCTTGAAGATCTACAAGATGATTTTCATTTACTTTTAGGTCCTTGTATACTCAGGTTTATAAGAACACCCCTTAAAATGTAAAAGTGGTTTGTTCACTTGAGGAAATTTTGGTACTAAGCCATCTGTGGCAGACTGAGTAGGAAACAATTTCTCTAATAATACATGAGGTGGCCTTATGTGGACAGTCATTGAAACAACAAAATAACTAAAGTGCATATGATAACTTGCTAAGAAGGTTTATATGTCAATACAGAGATCATATTTGTGACGTATCCTCAAGTGACAAAATGCTGCACACTCAAATATAAATATTCCTAATGTCTGTCTAGAGAAATGTATCTAACACTTGATTTGTTGATTTAATCAAAAGATGTCCAAATTGAAGAGTTGTTTTTTCCTTCAAGCTACTGCAGATGTTTTCAAAAAGGTGATATTACTGGCAGTATAACAACATAAATAAGCATCTCTTGGTGTCACTGTGTGATGACAAATTACAGTAATATTTTAGAAATGTATCTTTTTCTCTGAAATGCAACAATTTTACAATATAAGTAACATATCTATTCCAAGATGTCTTGGAATTACCTTTCTTAGCTCTTCAGGGAAGAGTGGGGAGGGACACATCATGCAGTACAGCTGCCACATGTGAGTCAATAAGATCATGCAGCCACGGGGAAGCAAACAGCTTTCTTAAGTACATCAGACTAATGTAAGATGTATGAAATAATCACACTTCACTGGTCTGCACTGCTGAGAGCTTAGACACAGTCTGTGTCCGGTTTTAGGCTTGTCTCTGGAGAAGGGCTCAAAGCTGGAGAATCTGCAGAGGGAACTGCAAGAATGCACAGGGATCTGGGAACATCGAAATTAAAGGGAAATGGAGTGCACTGTGGTTGTTAGACTGAAGAAGAAAACATTCAGAAGCACGATAACAGTCTTGTGGTACATGGAAAGCTTCTCCACAGATAACAGAAAGAATTTGTTCCCCATGATCCACAAATATCTTGGACCACTACTGAGTTTATGATGCAGCTGAGGAGGCTAAACAAGGCAGTGAGAAAGCTTTCTTGTAGCAAGGATAGACAAGTAGTGAAATAGGCTACTATGTGATGCTATGGAAATTTTGTTACTAAATGTGTTTAAGGATAAATTGGGTGAAAAACTGAACATTAGGTACAGCCTATTCTGCTTGAAAACAAAGGAATCTTTCTCCCAGTTGTATTGGGCAAATGTTCTCTGTAAAGTCAGTTTTAGTTTACAACTTTCATGTCCTTCAGTTTTTTAATGAAATAAATAAATAATTTTGAAGATTTCTTTTAAAAACAAATTTTAATGTTAACAGAGATGGGTTAGCTAGGAATAGTTCTGAAACTTCCATGCTTATCATTCCTCCCTTTTTGGCATTTTCTCTGATAAACAATCTTTTTTTTTTTTCAATTATTCTTTATACATCTTCAAATCTTTTATACAGCTTCATCTACAAATGGCTTAATCATATCTTGTAAATTACTCATATATTTTTATCTGTGCATTCCTACTACAGGTGTTCCACTGAAACCCCGGAAAGAATTAAAATTCATAGAACATCAGTCTGGAGACCTGGAGGTGAAGTGGTCTTCAAAGTTCAATATTTCCATTGAGCCTGTTATCTATGTTGTTCAGAGGAGGTGGAATCAAGGGATCCATCCAAGTGAGGATGATGCTACGAACTGGCAAACTGTGGCACAGGTCAGTTCTTTTAAGCAATATGGATCTAGTCTCAGAATGTCACAAATCTCTTGAAAAATGTAGAATTAGAGACCAAAATCCATTCAAGGAAGCACATTAGGGACATAGTCGTTCTGAGTTTAGTGGGACTCATTGCACAGTGTCCAAGGCATGGCTTGATTCTTGTCAAAAGTAAAAAACCAAGCTGGTGAAAAGGCTAGTAATTAAAAAAAAAAAAACCAAAAACAAACCAGAAAAACAAAAAACAAGACTAAAAAAAGAGTGAAAAAAATTACTAAAACCTTTATTCTTTGTAAAGTTGTTTTTCTCAGGTGTGACCCTCCCAATTCAGAAAAGTCTATGATGTCATGCTCTTATCACTCAGTGCCATCCAGACTAAAAATGTAAGATTCATGAGTGAATGTTTCTTAATGAGAAGCAGCCAACAGAGCATAAATTTTCACTTAGTTCCTTCCCAGTTTCAATCTGTTTTTTACCATGCTGACAGTCCACCTGGATGGCAGAGTTCCAATCGTTTATCTTACTGCTTCACCCTTATCCCTGCTGACAAGAAAAATAAAATGCTGATTTTGAAAAGATCTGCAAAATATCATTATAGCTAGGAAAAAAAAGGAAAGAGAGAATAAGTAGAACTGTCCACAAAGTCGAGTAAGGGATTTAAATTCTGTGACAGTTTGTGCTCATTCTCAATTCAGATTGTGTTGGAAAATGCTGTCTTACAAAAACATGAAGCTTGTGAGGCTGAACACTCAGAAGTGAATTTCTTAGCTCCAGCATGGTGCTAGAGGGAGCTGTCACTATGTTGTAGTCTTGCTCAGGAAAAGCCCCCTGCAGCAGACCCTGGCAGGAAACCTTGCTTGTGCAAGCCCATGAGAGCATGTCCAAAACTGATCAAGTCACAGTAGCTTCTGATCTCTCAGCTGAGGTGCAGGTCTTGAACCTGTGTTCTCCATTCCAGGAAACAAGCTCCTGCCTTTGTTGCAAGGAAAATAGCAAGCAGTAAAAATGTGCCAGATCTGAATTACTCCTCACTGTTACTGAGCTGTGCGGATGTGATAGACTGTAGAAGTTCAGCTGCAGTGGCTGGTGTATCCAGGCTGCAAAGGGAGCGCAGTGCTCTGCTGTTTCTCATCCCAGACCTCATGCACATTTCTGAACATGCACTGTAGATGCTCCACAGTGGCTGAACATACATGAGCCCTTGTCTTGCAGTGCATCTGCAGCAGGAGAGTGTTTCAGGAACATGTTGCCGTGCTAGAGCAAGAAGAAGCCTGACAGCTGCCTTTCCTGGGGTCTGGTGAATGCAGGCAGAAGGGGCTGAGTTAATCACTGTGGCAGGAGAAGCCTCCTCCAACTGACATCTTTCTGACAACTTCCCTGTCCCTTCTGCATCACAGGAGACACAAATTTGACTGTGGTGGACCCCACTGGGAATGTCAGCTCAGAGGACGCTTCAGGATGCCTGACTGGCTTTGTGAACTGTGTATACCTTATGGGACATGCAGGCTGGGCACCCTTGAGGGGTGCTGGTAATCAGAATTTGTGTCTTTAGAGAGTAGTGTACCTCCATGGTGCTTGTAGTTTTAGACATTCCACCAGGCAATCAAATTTGTTTGGCCAAATGTGATAGAATTTATTTTGCAATATCAGCAGCAAGGATGGATATCCAGTTTGACTACAGTGATTGTGTGCACAGCCTCCAGGCTTCCTTTGTCTGTGTAACTGAGATGTTTTTCTTGTATGATTCCAAAACATTGAGGTATGAGCCCTTAATTGTAGGCAAAGGCTGAGAAGAGTTGAACCATTTAGCTGAAAATTCCTGGAGCATCTCAGTCCAGGGGAGATGATTCTGGCTGTTGTTTTACTCTGAAGCTTAAGGTAGAGACCATGTAAAAAGTAACCAAAGATCAAAAAGGCTGTGCGTGAGGATCTGAATTTCTCTATACTTATACCATATGTAGCATAAACAAAGTTATTGTTTGCAGCTTCTTATAAGAAATTTCATAATATTTATCAGAGTTACTGTCTAATATTTTTTGGTATGTCCCAAGAACAAATGGGGTTGTAATTTTCAATAAATTAAAGGGGTTTAACTTAAAAAAAAACTGTCTGTATTTTATTGCCCTTAGAGAAGTTAATTTGCAAGTAATTTCTCATTTTTGACACAAATTTTTCTTTTGTATTGAAACAATAATTTTGAAAAAGTTTGTTTATTATTGTGCCATGTTTTTTGTGTCATCTGAATGTTTTCTTTTTAAGGAAGAAGGCACAATCTATTAGTATACTATTTTGCTCTCCAATTATATAAGAAAGCAAACATATTGAAAACAATTTTAGTAATTTCTCACTTCTGCAGGAAGGGATTTTTAATGTATCATAACTAAACTGCGTTAGTTTTTAACTGTGTATTTTGGGGAACATTTGATATGATTAACAATTTGACTAATTGCTGTTGGTTAATATAAAAACTATGGTAACTAAGATGCTAGTTAGCCAAGCTGGCTGTGATGTAGATTGTCCTAAGTGTTATGTGAAGTTTCCTACAGTACTGTAACTTAAGATTTAGCCAGCTGAGCAGGACCGGCTGCATTATCCTTTGGAAATACTGCATGTCGTGTGAACAGACTTACCATTCCATTTGGTACTAATTCTCTCTAAAAATAGCAACATTACTGTTTACATTGGAAATTCAGCTATTTAATCATATTACTATAATATAATAAAGTTAATTAAAATATACCAGGCCAGTTATTTTCAGACAGAGCATGTCTGTGTTGTGTGAATGGATGTAATGTATACACACACACACATATATATACATATATACACATATGGGCAGTGATGAAGTACATTCATTAGTCTAGTCCATTACTAAAACAAATAAGGGACAGTATTTACTGATGGCTTGATTGTGACAGACCAATTGTGCAATTGTCTAAACTCCGTGGACAGCTAATCTTCAAAAATAAAGCTTCTGAAACACCTAAAATTCTGGTTCTGAGGATCACAAGGAAATTCTCAGCCCATGACAGTGAGAAATACCTGCTGGATGGAGCTGACCACGAGTCCTGTACACTAAAGGTTTCTTTCTCCATCTCCCAGGGGAGGCTTGCTTTGGTAAGCAGAGAAATGAGCCCACCTTGTGTGGGATTGCATTCACATGAAGTAGGGCAGGTCTGCTGTTCTTTGTTAGAGTAGTGGATACAAGGCTCAGAATTTCTTTTGTATCAGACGAAACAGAAGCTCAGCTTTTCTGATACCCTGGGTGGAATCCCTTCGCTTTTTGAAATGCAAATTCTTTTATCACTGTGTTGTTTCCCAAGGTGTAGAGCTGTGAACTCAGCAGGGTAAGGCTGTACTCTCCTATTTCTATTAAACCTTTGTGTTACAGAGAGGAGTCCAGGATTCATAGTGGGGAATGAGAACAGTGAAACAGTCCATTGATTACTGTAATCCTTGGATAGAGGAGAGTCCTCTGTGCAAGTCTTTGCTGTGAAGAGTTCTTTGCACCAATTTTTAACGTATATACATAACATATATAAACTGTCTGTAGTGTTGACACGAGAATGCCGCCTAAATGGTCAAACTGCTGTGCTGGTCAGATACTCTCTTTCTTCTCCCTCCCAGTCATAGTAAATCCCACCTTTCCCTTACAAGAAATTCTAACTTTCAGCCTTTCTTTCTCTAAGGAACAGTTTTGGATGTAAATATATAACATAGTTATATAAATAGTTATAGATAGTTATATATATAGTTATAGTTCTAAGTAGGATGCAACATCCAGGGTGCTAGGGAATATCTTCCCCTTGCCTCTCATACAAAGGATGGAATTGAAGATAGGTCATCCATGCTCTGGGATGCTCTTGATCATTATTCAGTTGTAGGAGCAGCAGAGGGAGATTTCTGTAGCTGTGTTGAAGACAATAACATCTAATCCCCTTTTGAAGGACAGGATGGGGAGACTACTTACAGGAAAGGGCTAAGGATTTAAACAATTAAGAGCTGCTGGAAGAGGAGTAGAATTGTCAGTGCTTCCTAAATAGAGCAGCTCTGGGCAAGTCTCAGCCAAATTCTCACAGAAAGCCCAACCTTGTTCTGCTTTCTGGCCACAGGAGGTGGCCTGTTGTCCCTTGAACCTAAGATGAGCTCTTGAGAAGTAATATCAAGGTATTATGTGTATTGTCCAGCTTATGTCATTAAGATTACATGCTGCTCTTATATGAAGTTGTATTCTAATGTAATAAATAGGGATTTTCCCTTGTCTTCATTGAACTTTGCATGATACTGAAGGTAGACATGTTGGCCAGTTATTTTGTTTGAGGACTAATTTATTATTTTATCCTAAATAAAACACCTGTTAGAATTTGAAGCTACCTTCCAAACATTCATCTTTTAACCAAACAATGCCAAATAAATGGTCATTATGATTCCCTAATGATGTGAGTGGTGATCTTTTGTTTTTGTCTTTTATTTATGATTCTTAAAAATTCTTTAAAAGAGTTGGTTTTTTCTTTCATATTCAGACAGAATTTTAGGTGTGTGATGAAATTTAACCATTAGTTATTTGGTACCACTCAGCATAGCTTTTAGTGGGTTTAAATTAATGTGAAAGATATTGAAAGGACTCTGAATATTATGACTGCAGTTCCAAAAATACTTTAGTGAGAATTAACTAAACTAAAGCAATTAAACAAACAAAAAAAAATAGTTATACCATTAAGGTAGTGTAAGATCTCAGCAGTACTTAGTTGTTTCTAGAAATTTATTAATTCTATGTAAAAGGTACTTAGAGGTGCCAAAGTGGTTTATATCATGGTGGTTGGAGGTAGACCTCCTGCATGCCATTGAGCTTAGCAGGAGCTTGGCCAACAAAATGAATTATGAAAGTAATAGGCCCAAGGCATGTTCATAAGTTAAAATAATTTTGGCATTATGGATTGACAGTTTATTTGATTTTACATTATTTCATGGTTGCCATGGGAAACTGACACTACTGAAATACTTTCTTTTAATGAACAGAATATGAGCTGATGCCAGTGACAAATAACACCCCTTTGAGGAATTTGGGATTGAGTTTATTCAGATTATGCTTGCCTTGTAACAAAGTTCAGCAAACATGTTTTTAAAAGCCCAGAAGACTGTAACTACTTATTTACAATTATACATTGGTCCTGAACCTGTTTTCAGTTGCATTAATAGGAGAGCTGGCTGTTGGAAAAAAATAGTATATTTGAGTACTCCATAAAATAAAAATAATTGCAAAAGTTGATTCAGGTAGGCTCTTTCTTCCCTGGGGCAAACCTTGGATAATTCACTCTACAAGTAACATAAAGGTTAAAAAGGGAAAGGAGGTGAGGTAGACTGTCAGGACTGTTACCCCTGCTTAAATTGAGAAGAGAGTGGTCTGAATGGAGAGGGACTCTGAGTAGCAGCAATATGTGATGGACTCAGAGTCTGAAACACTCAGCAGTCTGAGAGAGTCAATAATATGGTTTAGAAAGGGTCTCCTTTCCCTGCATGCACACACAAATGAGATATTTGTTTCCCTAAATTTTGTTTGTCACCAAATGAAGAGACTAAGTGGAGAATAACACCTACAAATTTTATTTATCAGGGCTCTAAAAGGCCATTGCTGAAGAGCTGAAGCAAATTCCTCAGTTTCTGATTATCTGAGTTATGTCAGCAACTTCTGATTTCTTACACAGATTTGAAAGGGAGCAAGAAGCAGAAATTATGTTTTGCCTTTTTTTGGGAGCTACTTAGTATCATTACAAGTTATGTTGAATCATATACAGGAAAGGTGACTTTTTGAACTTGTATAAAACAGAGCTTGTAAAAAAATTGGTGTAACTACATTTTTAATGAGCTTGCATGTTTGGTCAGTAATGGTAATCAGTGATGATTGTATAATATATTTAGACATGTATATGACATCTGGTTCAGGTTCGTGTGTTACTTTGACAAAAGAATTAAATCAAAATGTAGTAAACATGACATACTAAAGTAAATTGAAAACTGGCTAATCGAGAGGTAATTGTAAAAGTAAAATTTCCAAGTGGGTATGTTTTTGATAAGTTCTACAAAAATGCGACATCTTCTGTAGCTGGAGGTGATTCAGTGGTTACCAGGAGGCTATGTTCAGTTCTGGTGTTTGTACCTTAGGGAAAAAAAAAGAAAGAATGCAAAAGATAGTTCTTCAAAAGTTTAATGAGGTAAAAAAATGGAAGAAAATAGGGCTCAGAATAAGAATCTGTAAAGCACTTCCTGCTGAAAGGGTTCAGATTGTATCTATGCTTATGCCATATTTCAGTGGTTCTCCCCTCAGGATTTGGAAATTGAACTCATGACACTGGCAATCTCAGTAGGTGTTGTTGGAGAAAAGGTCAGCTCCTATGACCTGAGAAAAGTCTTCAGGGAAGAGTTAAGGCTGTAAGTGTCTTTTTGACCTAAGTGCCAAAGATGTGAAAAAGGCTTACATTCATTATCTGAGAGTTTTGCGTTTCCTATGAACTAGGAAAAGTGGGTTCTCACAGCACTGGATTTCATTAAGTTATTTTGGACCCCAGATTCTCTGAGAATTGAGAATTGAGGAAATCAGTCCTGTCACTTGAGGCAACGAGTTCCCTAAAATATCACCTGAACAGTGAGACCCTAAACACTGGTTTGAAGGTTGTGGTAACTGCAGAACTAATTGTGGGAATTTAACAGCACTTCACCTATTTTCTAAAGGCTGCTTTTTCCAGAAGAAACCAGCAATGCAGTGTAAAATTGGATGCTTTTATCATTTTGCTCACAGCTGTAAATGCTTTGCAGTGCAGAGTGATGGCTGGGGCCAGGTGAGGTGGCTGCATGCAGCCTGTGATGCTCAGCCAGACTGATGGGTGTTGCACAGCAGATGGCAGGTGGCCTTGTCAGGACAAGCAGTGTAAGTGTGACATTTTCCCCCCAGACCACGGAGGAGCGCGTTCGGCTGCCGGACACCCGCGCCAGCCGCTGGTACCAGTTCCGCGTGGCCGCTGTGAACGTGCACGGCACCAGGGGCTTCACTGCGCCCAGCAAGCACTTCCGCTCCTCCCGAGGTGAGTGTTCCTCGTGCTGTCACCTGCCTCTCTCCCCCACCTGCAGCACAGCCTGGTCTGCCTGCTTTTGTGGCAGAGGGTTTTGAGCAGGTGGGTTTTTGAGTCGTTTTGTCACTTACTTTAGAAATGGTGTGAGATTTGCTTGAAGTCAGCAAACAGATTAAAAGCTGAAGTGTCATTATTCTTTTATCAGCAAGGGTGTCTATGAATAAAACTCCTTTGAAATATTTTCCACATGATTGATATCAAACTACATGACCCTGACCATGAAATACGGAAGAACTTGGGTTTCAGTGTGTTAATCCGAGAAGTTTATCTCTGTTTTTATTTTTAGTTATGATAAAGATGTTATTGTTATATATTTAGTAGAGTACTGGTATATTTTGTTGCCTGTATCTAAATAATTGTAGCAGCATTGTTTTGATGGAACTTTGGACCCTCTTAATATAATTTCCTCTTGATAGCACTAATTGTAAATGCTTAAGAATAAAAAAGAGCATAAATGCAAAGCAGCATGTTTCTGTTCATTACAAAGGCATGCCTGATGATCCACAAAGTATTGTAGGAATTTTTGTTGATAGTTCTGGTTTTAAAACTGTTTGGGTAATGAAATAACTTTGAAAATTATTTCTGTACCAGTAAATGGTACATGAGGGATAGAGGAGATAGAAATGGTTCTCCCATCCTGTGAAGTTCCTGGCATTCTCCCAGGTGTGCTTTTGACCAACATGAAGAAGAATTTTCCCAGATGACTCTTAGGGGGTTAGTATAGTATAGGGGTTAGCACAGGCCAGAAACTATTCCCATTAGACAGATGATCAGGATGTGGTCACCCTCTCTTAAAGGCAGTCAATAATGTGGGCATATCCAGACCACACTAGTTGACTTCAGTGCCAAAGAATGAGATCCAGCACTCTTCACTCTACTAATAGAAGCAGTTCCTAATAGAAAGACTTGTTGTTATTTTAGTAGTGACAGAATCTTTATGCTGGTATAACTTTGCATACTTTGAGGATTGTATTTCCTCCTCTTTCTGCAGACTGAATTATCTTGCAGTACAAGCAGTTGCCATCTTTGGGTTCCTGTGCTGGCCTTTAGCTTTCTGTTTGGCCATAGTCAGTCCTAGAAAAGGGTCTTTTTGGTGGTGCATTTATAGAGGCATACAAATACTTTTGCTGGTTTGGAAGTTTTAATCTTTTACTGAATAACCATATGTTAACCTTAATGATTTTTTTGGTGCCCTGGCCTTATTTGTGGTGGGAAGGTTGGCTGGCATAGCTGTCCTGTTACTTCTGTGACCACAAACCTTTTCATGCCTAGAAGAAGTACTATTTTAAGAACTATGATACTTAAGTAGCATACAATTTCAGAAACATAAAATAATACAGTTTGTTTGAGCTGAGTTTACTGTAAGAACTCCTCAGCAACGGTACCTTTCTCTTTACTTCTTCAACAGCACTTCAGCAGATACAGCAGTTTGTTGCTGAATCTGGCACCAACTTTCTTTTAAATTGAGATCATTGACAGTTGTTTTATTGGATTTGTAAATATTTTCCAACAATTGTGGTTGAAACCACCATTACTACAATTACAGAAAGGTATGTCATGGTGGCACTGAGATTTTGGCTTGAACATGACATTTTCAGGCAGGATTTGTATAACTTTCAAAAAAATTGGCCCCCTTCTGGGTGTGCTAGCCATGCTCAAAATACCACCCTTGGTAATGAATGTAAGAATGTCCATGCTAAGTCATCCTGGAGGTCTCTTTAGCCCAGAATCTGCCTCCAGCCAGAGGTGGGTTTCTGGATAACAAGGTAAGATCAGGATAAGCACATAGGGGTATTTCTTCAGAATAGTCTCCCAGCTGGCAGTAATTTGTGTTTCAGGAACTTGTGGTTTTGAAATCATTACATGAATACCGGAGTCCTCGTGGTCTCTGAAGTTACCCCTGAAGCACTTGCTGTCCTTGAGAACTGCTCATGGCTGTCTAGGGAAGATGGAGAGCACTTTTAGGGCTTTGTGACAAGGGCAGAGGGATTCAGCAGTACCTCTGCATGCATGTAGCCAGCACTCTTCAAAAGGCTTCTGTAACTCTCAAAATAACTGTTTTCAAATCTGAGCTCCTGCCCCTGGCAGAGGATTGTGAATTGACAGACAAGCAGCAGCAGGGAGTTCAGTTAGCCCCGATCAGCCTGTGCTGGCAGCTCATTTGGCCATTCTAGGGTCTGTGGAACTGCCAGTGGTGTTATAAAGATGTGAGTTTGCCACATGAAATGTGCAGTCACTCCAGGTCACTCACATGAAGGTGCTGCTGGGTGCTGACTGCTGGGAAAGATACTGGGATGCTCCTGTTTGTGTCTTTGAGCCTTCATATCCCCAGGTGAGCCGTCAAAGGTGTAGCAGTTAGTGTCACACAAACATTTAATTACTACTTTGGAGCTCAGTGGGAAGTGACAGCTCCTGCCTGGTAGAGAGGCGAGAAACTGCTGCTCAGAGGTGCCTAGTTTTTTGAGTGCCAGCATCTACTGGCCCCTGCTGAGCTCCTACAGGCACATTTAACCTCCAGTTTGGAAAAGAAAAGTGGATTTTGGCACATCACCTTTGGAAGTTTGCTGCCTGTCTGTGCTGTGTTTGTGTGAAGTGTGGACAGAATTTCACATCAGTGTTTCACTTCACCCTGTTGTGCCAAGACTAAGAGAAGATTATTATCTTGGTCAAACTTAGCAGTAGGTTTCTTCAAAAATAAACCCTTTGATCAGGAAACATGACAGTAATTCCTAAGACAGTTTCTCACGCAAGATACTGAACTTTTACCAATTGCTCATAAGTAATAATGAATAGAAAATTATTTGGGTTTGTTTTTTCCTCTAAAGGGGGGCAAATATGATATTTAATCTTCTTCTAGGAAGAAGTATGGCACCACAAAGTCTCTGTCACTAAATATTTTAAGATGTTAAGAGGAATATTCAAAAACGTACTGTAATTACTCAGAGAGAGAATTTTTTGTCTGGTTACCACAATACTTTTTATACTGTTTTGTCTTTTTGAAAATGCAAAAAACATGCTCTCTAAGTAGACACAGCAAAATAAGGTTTTGTTGTATTCAAAATGATGTTAAGTCTTCTGAGGTAATTACCATTAACTTATTTATCACTAAATAAAACTCTTCATTTTCCAAAGTAATTTAATTTCTCAGTCATGAAAAAGACAAAAACAGGAAAACAAGAATATTTCATCAAGCATTTCAACTTGCCATTCTTCATCTAATTGTGTTTTGAGGTCTGATCTACTGCACCTTTGGATGCTTTTGTGCTATAAACATTTGAGGTGAAGGTTTATTAGCTGTTTTACACTGTCTCATGTGTTCATCTAGGATGAACATTAATTTGTTGGCATTAATTTGTAAATAGTAAATAAAGTGACATGGCTGAGAATTTCTGGAATATTCAAAGCTTAGGCAGAGCTCCTTTTTTGACTCTGTTTATTTATTTTTTATAAAGGAAACAGAAGGTTTGCATGTACCGGTCTGACATGACCCTTCACAGAGAATAAAGTGGAGCTTTGTTTTGCCAAAATGTGACTCCAAAATTACAAAAACACAGGTTGGACTAGATCAGTCCGTGGTGGAGTGGCTGGAAAATTAAGTGAATGTTGCACGTAGAGAGTGGATTCTTTCATATGACTGGAACTGTGCACATGGACTTTTACATTGATACTGTCAACTAAAATTGATCAAAATTTTCTGCTATTTCAGCAGTGGTTTCCACTTCTTTTTTCAGAGTTTTTAAATTTTGTGTGGTTTCCTTTTATCTTTAATTGAATGGCAAAAACTTCCAATAACAGCAATAAATAAAGGTAACTGAATACCTGACAGAACATTTTTGATCCATGAAGATACAAATATCCTTCTATTCATATTTAGACTGGCTCTCTCCAAGCTGTTTCCTTTCTTCTGGAAGCAGGAGAGAACTGTTCCTAGAATCCATAAATTAGTCTCCTTGGATGAAGACTCCCTGTGTTTTTCTTCCAGTAAGCAGGCACTGGATAGCTTAACCTAACTGGTCAGAAGCTGCTTGGCACTAGTAATACAATTTTTAATTTGTTGCATTTGGTTCAGAGTACCTAGGCTGTTTTTTCCCTAGCTTTTTATATTTTGTGATGGGAATGAACTCTCAGTACCAGAGACTTCAGTTAACTCTAGGACTCAGTGTTAGGCATTTCTATGTCATATATTATCTCACTGGTCTGTAGGTACTGTGCCATTTCCAGAGACAAGAAGATCAACACAATGAGCCCAAACCATCTGACCCTTCCACCTCTGCTAAAGGCTTTTAGCTTCACCATGAAGGCAATTGCCAGCATACACTGGATAGATTGTCAAGCAAAAGGAAGCAGACAGCATTGTTTTCACAGCACATAAGTACCAGGTTGGATGTGATTTCATGCATACATTACTGAGTGTTAGAAAAACCAGAACAGACACCCACTCATGGCAATAAAACTCTTTCTGTTGCTCCTTCGAGACCAATGATTTTTTTATGCTGTTGCACAGCTGGTTTATGTGTGCCATTTCCATCGGGCAGAGCCAGTCCTCCTGCTTACACCCTGGAACTGTTTAATGGTTGGAAACTTGTCTGTAGAGCAGCTTCAGCAGACTTAGAGTTGGAAGGTCTCCTGTTTGAAAGATAGCAATGGGAGATCTATTTTAAGTCAGGAAAAATGCTCAAAAAAATTGCTTTAAATTATTATCACACTTGCTCTCAGTTTTACAGCTCAGAATGAGAATTCTGATTCCAATGCCATTATTCCCCTCTCTGACACCCATTCCAAATCATTTACTGTTTTCACTCCAGTTGCCACATTGAAAGACAAAGTGGATGCACTGAAGCAGTGTATGATGTGATTCATGTGTTTAGCTAGTCCATACTGTTTTTTAAGGTTTTGCAAAGGTGTTTGAAAATACTATTGATTTAAAGAATTTTGGAAAATATAAACTATTACTATGTTCACAAATATGAGTGTGGGAAGATGTTAATTTTGAAATGGTGATGATGTGAGTGTTTTCTTTCTTTCCTTTATTTGCAGCAAGAGATCCTCCCTTTTGGGGACTGGAGACAGAATTTTGCTTGTGATGGCTGAGTAGCCAGCAACACAGGAATTTAGGTCCTTTGGGTATACTCAAGCCAAACACAATCCAGACAAATGGAGTACTTATCCCATGTGCTGGAACAGCAGCTTCAGCCTTGACCTAATGAAGCTATCATTTCTAGCAGTGAGAAGCGATTTACTTGTCAGGCTGCTGAGACCAGAATTTTTTAGGAGTTGAGGACAGCTGTCTGTGCCAAATTCTAGGATATATAGAATGACTGGTAGTTTATTTGTATAAACTGCAAAGGAAAAGCTGCAACCAGCATCACTCTTTCTGCAAACCAAAGAATTTGATTTAACACTCAGATAAATTCATGTATATAAAGTATCAGTGCTTTGCATTCGAAAAATTGGCAGCAGTTTTCATTCCAGTAATTTTATATCTGTGTATCTGAATTATACATGTGGGCAGTCAGTCAAAGGGATCACTGGTACATGAAGACAAACAGTAGGATGGCTATTGGCTTTATAGTCAGCAGAACGTCACTTTAGCTTTATAGTTGGGTTAACAAACACCTTATGTAGTCAGCTTTATGATTCAGTACCAGTTATTAGACCTTGAAGTATTTTAGCATGAATTCTATAGTGCTTTTAATGTCTACATGGAATGAGCATAACAGACCACCTTGCAGAAGCATGACTTTAACATTCAATAATGCACAAAAAACCAACTAATCTGTTATGTGGTAACTGGCTGGCATGCATTGTAGAGGAGCATGCTCATAAACATGTCACAGTTTTTCTTTTTTTTTTTTTTTTTTCTTGGTTCTTGTTTTTTTGGGAGGCCTAAAGGGTGTAGGAGTTTTTTCAGTGCTTTCTTTAATGTGGGGTTTGGGTTGTTTGGTTTTTCTTCCTGTTAACAGAGATCACATTATTTTACCCTGCTATTCCTTTTCACTTGTCTACTTTGCTGGTGAAATTAAATTCTTTCAAATGAAGAAATAATTAATATTCTTGAGTTCTTAACTTACAAAATGATAATTTTGTCATTTGTAATAGTGATGAATGTCACAGAAATATATCAAAATAGATGAATAAATTATATAGTGGTATTGAAATACTTAATATGGAATGGATCCTAATCTGATATAAAATGCTCACTGAGTGTCTTAATATTTCAGGTAATACACCGCAAATCGGTGAAATATTTTATTGATGCATCCATAGAAAAAGACAGGATTTTTTTTCATTTGATTAAATGCAAAACTGTAATAAGTTTTGTTTATCTTTGAAATTTTATATTTTTATAGCTAATGATTTTCTTAAATCTGTCTACTAGTTTTTATAAAGCTCTCATAGAAAATGTGTCTTTCAGACACTTTCAGTGTCTCACCTTTTCATGTCTGTTAGCTGCACATCTACTCCTTTCTGTCTTCTACCACCACCACTGTTCTTGTTCAAAGGCATTTTTATGGATGACATTTGAGAGGCTTGCAAAAGAGTCTTTGAACAAAGAGGGCACTCAGGAAAATATTTGCAATTGCCGTATTATATCACATGTATATTCCTTCTAAGAGGACATTCTTTCTATCCTTAACAGTAATTACCCAATGATTTTTAATGCAATGTTTGTATTCTCACACAGCAAAGTAGAAACATTCACAGATTTTCTTTCAAATGTGGATCAGCATTTTTTCTGCTGCCTGGACTGTGTCTAGTGAGCACAGAAGAAATTCTACTGATAATGTTTTCAATAATCTGTGCAATTATAGAAAGCACAGATACACTGGTGCTGTAGAATTTAGAAGAAATGATCTATTGGTTTCAGTGCACACACATTTCTTTCTAACTACTTTCTTTTGCTGGAATGGACAAATAAACATTTGAAAAGAAAAAAAAAATTTGGTCATTAGTTGTTAGACCTACAAAAAATTGGTGAAGAGAACTTCAAAATGTTTTTAATCATGTAATACACTTTGTCCAAATGAGCTATTTCATTTTTTAAAATATTTTTTAAAATGACTCTCTATCTCTTGTAGATGCAGAAAGAAGACAAACATGTTTTATAGGTTGAATTGTTTTTGTTTATATCTGACCATTTGGGAAGATATATTCTCTGAAACACTTTTATTTTATCCCATATGTTTTGTATACATAATACATGATGCATAGCACTTTTGGGAGATAACCTGAATAATTCACCTACAGTAATATGATCATGTTGCACTTCAGGTTATAAATGTTTTATATCCCTAATATAATGTCATATAACATATAAAAGCCCCTAACATTTTAAATCAGTGGAGATGAATGCTTAATAAATGTCTTATATATGTGAATCATGATTCTGTTTATGTTTAGTTTACTTAAATTGCATTTTATACTTACCTTTTAAATAACAGAAGTAAATGAAAAATTTGAGAGAATAGTGCAAACTATTTAGCTATTTTTTCTTTAACTCTGGAATAAATGGTTTAGTATACTTTAAGACGGAGTGGTTGGCAGCTTCGCAGGTGAGGAAATAAGCGTAATAGCAGTGCTTCTCCAAAGCCAGAAAAAATATACACAACTGACTTGCTAGTGGATTTAAAAACCCAAGTGAGAAGTGAGGCATTATTACTGTTTGGAAATTGTGTTCAATTTCCAGAATTCTTAAGTATGCTTTGGAACTTTTATGGCCAAAATTTAGATTGGATTGTATGTGTGAGGAAACAGGGACATCCATTACTATTTAATGAAAATGGAATGTGTGAGGGAACAGGAATATCCATTGTTATTTCAGCAAAAGTCCTGTTTAATAACAGGAATAAGTAATTTTTTCACATCTGCTGATCTTTAAAAGGGAAATTCTGTCTTTATTAATTCTTAATGTGCCTTTTTTATAAAGTAAATGATAGAATTTTTCAGTGAGACAATTTGTCATGGGCATTATCTGATGAATTAGGTATGTCTGGAATGTTTATTTAACAGCTCATTTACCAATTTAAAATAATGCAGGTGAACCATACAGTAAAAGAATGAATGATGTCCTCTCCTCACACCTCCAGTTTTATTTCTGGCAAATAAGTGGTGGCTTGTATGGCTGTACATTGATAATATGTCTTATTTGCTATGAATTTCCTTTATTCTTCTGATATGCTTTTAATTTTTTTTTAGTCTGACTGCTTACTTCTATGTAAATTTTGTTTTTGCTGTTTCCTTTTATTTCATCATCAATTTTTGGCTGACAGAGACATTTAAAAAAGGGTAGAAATTAAAAAGTCAAATTAAGAGATAGGAGTTGGTAAACAACAAATTGGACTTTCAGAAGCACTGTTGCAAAATCTTCATTGATTCACATTACTTGGGACCAGGATATTATATAGTGAATCCACAAGGAGGACCTTACATTTAATATTGGAAAAGATTCAATATTTAATCTTATTCAAACTCTGACTGTTGTGTGTCCTTGACTCTGGAGTCAGCACAAAGACAACTGAAGGAATACAATCTCAGTTGATATTGACCAGGAATTGAACCAGAATAGTGAAATAAATCAAAGAGGTAGCTAATTGCTTTTTGACATTCTAAAAAAAACCCTATAGATTTCTACCACAGTGTAATATATCATTATGCTTTAATTACATTTAGTCTAAGGAAGTGTTTGTGTCCCATGGTGGAAGATATCAATACTAGAATTTTGAGGAAAGATTCAATATATCAAAAAATAATTTAATCATCTGAGAATTATCTGGCAATGAAAAGATATTCAGTGTTTCATCCATGCAGTTCTGTGGGGACTCTACAAGGCCTCTTGTACAACTGAGTATTTTACACTCACTGTGTATTTGAAGTGAGTGACAGAAGGAAAACTGATAGTCTGGTGCATTTTGATAAAGCTTCATAATGTTTGTGAACTATCAGCAACGCAGAAGAATGACAAACTAGATGCTAACCCATAATTTTTATTTCAGTAGAGTTTGAATTTCTAGAATTTACAAGAAGCCATATCAGTTACAGGATGGCATTGCCCAGATTTTCCTCAGTGTATTTAGAGTGTTTAATCCAGTTTGTGAATGCCTCATAAATATATGGGGAAGGTAATCGTTACCTTAATGAAGATGATTTTTCCCTTAAAATATTTTCATTTTTTTCTAAATTCTAGATCCATCTGCTCCACCAGCTCCATCTAATATCAGGATTGCCAATATCAGTGCAAACAATGATGGGAGTGTAAATGCAATGATTACTTGGGATCTTCCAGAAGAGCCTGATATCCCAGTGCACCACTACAAAGTCTTCTGGAGCTGGACGTACAGCAAATATGTAATTCCAGCAAAAAAAAAGAGAAGGAAGATCACTGATGGGGTAAGAAAGAAATCAGTAACTGTGACAGAAATATTGTTTATGTTTATGCAAAATAGAGTGTAAGTATAAAATGTGTGATAAGTTCCAATGATTTCAGCCACTGGTAAAATAGTGATCCTAATTTTTACAATCATGAAGTCCATAGAATATTTTGATCTCTCAATCCTTTTCTTAGATTAAACTCAGGGAGAGAAGTAAACTTCTGCCTTAGAATACAGGTAAATATGATAAGATTTTTCAGGAAAGATGAATGAAATTTAAATGCTGTTAGTCCTCTAAATTTAGGCTTATTCAGTTAGTGCTTCTTAAAGTGTTTATTTTATTTGAAAGCCTGTCATTGTCTGTCACATTGTTCTTTCACTATGCAAGTAAAACTTGTGACACAGTCATAGAGTAATCGTTAAACAGTCAGTGTAGGTCTGAGGGAAAACCACACAAAACTCTTTAAATAAACTCCTGTACCAAAGATCTGGCAGTATTTTCTTAGCAGCTAGTTCCTATGAATTTATTGAGTAATACGTTAAATATTGCTTTACTGGAAAACTTTTTGTTATGATATCCTTAAGGATATTGCATATTATTTTAGAGCAATTAATAGAAATAGATAGGAATAACAGAAATCACTTAGATATGACTTGATTGTCAGTGCTTTTGATAGTGAGGCTTTGGCCCCATGTCAGTGTTAACACTGTGTTTTGACTCTGTCTGCCCATTGCACTGTGATGAATGACAGTCAGAGGGACACAATTCCCCCTCTGTCCCTCAGTCACCAAACCATGACAGAAATAAAGGCAGTGAAGGCTGTGTGATGAAATCATGCAAGTCAATTTGCACAGAAAGGAAGGTTAGTTCTTTATTGTTGTTTAAAAAATAATTGCGGCAGGATAGGAGTAGGGTTGGACTGTGCTCCATAGAAAAGGTTGTGTTCCTCAAGAAACCTTACATTGGGTAAAGACCTTCAGGAAAGAGGCTTCAGCCTAAAGATAACAGGGAGCTTTCTCTCTACAAGCTAGTCAGTACATCAGAAACCCCAGAGAATTTTAAAACTGATCTGGGTCTTTAATACCTTTTGTCTTGGTTTGGAAAGACAGGAGTTTGCTAAGGAAGGCAGGAGCCTACCCTGAAATGGAGAATGTAAACCCTCCCCACCCCTCTGAATTGCTATAAATTTTAAATTAAGGGGCTCTCACGTAAAAAAATATGGCAGCAGGAAATAACAGTTATTTAATAAATAAAAGGATAAAATAATGCACTACACTAGAACAACACTGACAGAGTCAGAACCCAACCTGACACCCTGTTGGTCAGCGTGTTGGTAGCAGTCCAATTGGAAATGTGGCTGCAGTCCTCCTGAAGTGTCACGTGTGGTTCTGTTGGAGCAGGGATCCTGTAGAGAAGGATGTATTCTTCCTCCAAAGATCCCATAGAAGAAGAGACAGCTGCTGTTCCTCTGTGGAATCCCGTGGAGAAATCTGTCTCCAAATTCTCTGGATTATATCTGGGTAGCAATGCTTGGCTCCTCCCTCTGGGCGGAGCATGTCACAATGGGATGCTGTAGTTCTTATCAGTCGTGCAGTGACATTCAATAGCTGTTATCAGCAGGTGTCCCCTCCCCAGGGAGGTGTGAATGTGGTCACTCAAAGAGAGAGATAAAGCAAACTGCCCACTTGACAAAAAATAATCTGCCCTACAGATGATAATTGAAAACATCTTGTATTGCAATCTTTAACACCTTTCCATAGGGCACTTCCTACATAGAAATAATACTAAACCAGGTCCATTAGAACATTAGGGTAATTGAGACAAAGTTCTGACCTTGAATATAGGGAAATACAAGGTGCATTTTAGAGAAAAGGCAGATTCTTACAACATCTCTCATGTTGCTCCTGACTTGAACTTTTTCTTCTGCAACATGTCGTGAAACTGCACAGCACTGCCAGTGAGATTCAGGACATTCCAGATGAGTTGCTAATCAATGGTCATTTGAATATTGTAGCAACTCTTAGGCTAAAGAACGGCAAATGCACGAACATTTAAAAAACAAAAAAGGAAAGGTGGAAAATTCTTAATTGTTAAAGACCACTGAAGATTATTTTTGTCCAGTTTTTACCTTTAGATGTAGCCCAACCCAAATAATTTCTTACTGATTTCCATATGAATTCACTCCAGGTAGACATTGAGTTAGTTTGACTGCAATATTGACACTGTTAATCAAAAGTTATAATCAATATGTCAGCACTAAACAAGTAAAGATAATTAATACTAAATACTTTCTAGGAATCTCCTTTTATCATCCTAAATGTTAAATATAGGGTGGTTCCCTTGGTATATGGTTACCTTTTTTACTCTATATGGACTGTTAAGGCACAAGAAATTCTAACAAAATATGTTCAACCTGGCATATGGACTAAAAGGATATTTTTATAATTAAATCTAGCAAAATAAAATATAAGACTGAGAAGGTTGGACTCCTTTTTACAGTATCATGTGCCTTGCCTTAATGAATGGGTTTTTGACTGGAGAATGATAAACCTGATCTATTGTTTCCCCATTTTGTACACGTCCGTGACACTGGAAATTGGTTTTTTTTCTGTTCTATTTTCCATTCTACAGAGGAAAAAGTGTTGTTTGCAATGAGAGAGTATTTTAGGTTGCTCCATGTTTTTTAGATTTTTCTTTTCAAGAGTTTAAACAAATAGAATGTATTAAAAAATTATTAAATGATGGACTTTAGCTATCTTCAGACTGACTGTCTCTAGCAAAAAGTTTTCAATTGCTTTACTAACACAGAAATTGTGGAATTAAGTGCTTAAATTCCTTTTGCTAAAATGATTTTGGCATAAGAGAAAAACCTTGTTATATAGAAGAAAGCCTCATTGGTTTTGCCTAAACAATAGGTTTGGAATTGCCAAGAAATTGCCAAAATTATGCAAACATCAAGTAGGTTAGTATTTTTAAAATGACACAGAAGAACAGAGTCCAATTAAAGAAATCTTTTGCAGAAAGGAAATTTTGCTCTGAAATTTATATATGAGTTTTCTAACTTCAAAAAGGTTTTGTGCCTAAGATAACAAGTCTGCTTTTAATAAAGGCATGTGTTTCAGCAATATTATAATTGCTTTGTATATTTATTCTATTATAGGCCCAAAATTATGTGGTCCTGGAGGGGCTCCAACCCAACAGCAACTACAATGTGGAGCTGCAGGCAGTGACACGTTGGGGTCAGATACGCCTAAAAAGTGCAAAGGTTTCCCTCCATTTTAGCACGACTCAGGACATCAGGAATAATAGTGAGTAATCAAACACCTGAATGCTGTCTCTCTCCTTTATCTGGAATTTGAATGTTTTATATAATGATATCTTAAATTTTAAAAAATCTTTAAGTAGGCTATTCCATAGCACAGTGATCATCTCCCGATCAGCTTGAGTAACCTTTTCTTGTTAAATTTCCTATTTAAAAATTGGTGACAATTTTTGCCTAATTCTTTGACTTAGACTCTACTCAACTGAAGTAAACAGTTGCAAAGAAAACGAAAGCCTTTGCATAACTGTAGTGTTAATATTTTTTAGATTCAATGCAGATATAGATACTGACTGTGTTTCTAAATGGATGGAGTAAAACCATTTTTGTGTATCTTAACTGGACAGTATTAACCTGCAACGTTTTCCAAAATCCTGGCCATTTTTAGTAGCTCTTTAAGTCAGATTCTTGGAACACAAAACCTTGTGTCTGTTATCAGTTGATATATAAAACACTGACTCTTCTTTTAGGGAATCTAAAACATTCCATGTCTGTTAACCATGCATTCTCAAAATATTGCACACATAGGACCCACATTCAAATTAAAATCTCAAGGTGTTCAGATGATAGATTATAGTGTAAAGGTTCTTAGAACCTTTACGCTATAGAACTTCTTTAGAACCTCACATGCTAAGTAATGTAATTGCAAACTGTATCTGAATCTGGCAGAACACCATGAATCTTAACCTTGTTTAAATGCTATTTATACAATTACGGTACAATACTGAGTTACTGCCCGAATTGCTGATTAACTAATACAGCAAAGTTCTGAAAATAAGATGTTAAAGAATATGATTTTAACTATTCTGCCCTGACTCCATTTCATTTTGTATTCATTTACATTCTTTCTTTAAAGTACACTCAGTTTAAATTTGTAGCCATTTTCATAAGAGATCTGTAATTAATTTCAACCTCACTAATCAACTGTGGTTGTTGCCATATTCTGTTTGGGTATACATAAAATATTGTAATGTGATTGTTAGCTATCACAGACCTTCTCGTCTGTGGTTGGTATTAATGGACCAAGAAGAAAAAATAAGCTGAAGCATCCTTCTTTTTCCTTTTTAAACTAATCTTTACTACTCTTTTGGGCCATCTTGAGAGACAGTAGAAGATCAGGTTTTCATCTCGTCCATACACTGAGTCTTTGCTTCAAATCCATACCAAAATATCAGCTTGAATCTCCACTGTCTGTATATTAGGCAAGTTTAAATCTTCAATGAAGCCCAATAAAAGTAAAAGAGTTCTGCCTTTTCCTTATTGGCCCTCCTAGATTGTACTCGTGCTTTTTTTCATCTCCTAGAAAAGGAGCTTAGTTTGCAGGACTGTGCATGGTATCAAAATCTTCTTGCAATTATCACATTAAGTTATCCTTCTTTTTGTATATTTACACAGGAGAGGTAATAGAGGAAAAAATAACTGTGGGAACTGGGTGTTTTAATTGCATACAGTGAGCCATTGAGCTCTGGTAGAGTAGTATCATTGGTGTTTGAGAGATTTCAGATTTTGCTGGTTTTTTCCTAAGAATTGTTTGTGGGGTTTGCTGCTTTTTTTTCTGCTCTTTTTCCCCCCCTGCAAATTTCATTAGATAAACAACCAAAAATTTTTTCCACATTGTCCCCCTACCCAATTTCCTGCTTATTTTAATAAAGTTTCTGTGAAGTTATGGCTCCTGGTGCTAACTTTAAGATTTTTAGTTTTCAGTGCAGTCATCTTGACTGTCATGTCACTACAACATCGCAGCTTTAAGTAAGAACTCAACTCACAGCTGAGTTTATGCTAAATCAAAGAATCCTGATGGTGGGGTTTTATCTGTCTGAGGTTGGTCTGCGTCCTGCTAAGTGGGAGAAAATTCCAGATGCCATTGGATACAACTAACCAAAGAGAAAATGGGCAAGCTTTTTAAATTCTTTGTCTCATTTTATTATCAATATAGCTTTATAAGTGTTTTCATCTTGGGAGCAAAGAAAATTAATCAGCTGACCTTTGTCATGCTGTATTGGTACTCTTGACATTAGGTCAGACCATCATAATCTTTAAACATGATAGTAAATAAAGACTTTCCATATAACAAAAGCCTTCTAAACTGAAGGTGAGTAATTGAGATATGAGCATGTAATTTTTTGTATCATTTCATATTTACTGTAAGAAATCCTTTCGCTGGTATGTCTGTATTAGCTCTCTGTGGCCTCACTAATGTTCTGACTCTTGGTCTATATCACCTCTGGGTTTATGTTTGGAGAAAATCTTTGTTTCAGTTTTCCTTCTTCAAACCATTGTGTTTTTCACAATCTAATGCAGGTCACATCTGAGTTATTACTTATAAATTCCCCACCAAATGGAGTTCATTTATGCTGTACCTCACATATGACTCCACTGCTTCATCATTATCTGTCCACTGCAGTGGAACCTCTTTCCTTTCATTGTCACAACTAGATTTAAATTCCTTCCACAATTTTGCTTGGATACCCTGCCCTCTCCATGATTTTGCTTCAGAAAATGGACCATCAGTAGTTTTTCTAAAAATCTGCTACCTACTTATGTCTAATTAGTACAGATTTTTTAATGCCTTCTGTTTTATTTTGCTTTACTGGGGTGACTTTTTTGTACTAAAAGGTTCATTAATTGTTGTATTGTATTTTAAACTAGAGTAAAACTACATTGGGAACAATATCTTTTTGATCTTGTTTACTTCAAGAATTCTGACTGTTCAAATTTTTAATATCCATTTATTTAATGAGCAGTATTTTCTCTTTAACTGCAAATCAGTGCTTGTACCAAGTAAAAGACATATTTGTTTGAGTATTTCAGTAATAAATTTATAGAAAAAATTTGAGCATCCCTTCTCTTAAAGCCATGAAGTAAAGGAGTCAAGATTCTTAGAACCCAACACTGATAGCACTCACTTTAATTGACAGAGCACTCTAGGCCTTTTTGGACATTTTTTTAAAAGGCTAGATTATATTTTACATTGAAAAGCAAGTAAAAACCTCTCCTGGAGGAGATGCAAATTCATCTTCTGTATCTCACTCAGGTTAGTTGCTTGATGTAATTTTGAGAATTACAAAATGGAAATGGAGACATATGAAAAAGAAATAAAAAAATTGCCTGAAATATTATCTAGGACATGACATCTTTGGCTTGTCTTTAATTTGGGACTACCATGGACTTTGGGAAATAATTCCAGAAGCAACATGCCAATTTTGCTGAAGTCCCACTGTCAGGTACTCAGCTCTGTGTGGAATTAAGCTTTGGTTTTTGGGTATCTGGTCCTGTTGTCAGAATAGAGATAGCCCATACCCCACTGAAGTAATTTAGTCCTACACAATTCTGTGAGCTTTGACCTCAGCCCTCTGGCATTACGTTTCCCCACACTCAGAAAGGCATTGCCTCACTGTATTTGTGCGCCTCACTTCTGGGAAATGTGCAAGATTCTTGCTTGATCTTTATATAGAAATGTTCTAAATTGGTGTCCTGGTTTTTGTGGAAGTGGAGCAGACGGAGATAGCAAAGGAGAGATTTAATAAAATTAAAATAATTTAAATTGAGGAATACCTAATAGATTTTAGTTTGTACTTCTCTCTGTAACTTTTTCATTTTCATTTGGGTAGTAGTAACTTTATGGTTACCTTAAGAAAGAATTAAGTTTGGTAGTTTAATATAAAACAAACTAACAAAATGAAAACTGTATCAGATTCAGCAAAGGGCCAAGACAGTGAAACTTGGCCATAAAGCAAATCAGTTTTAACTGAAGCTGCATATAAGGCAAAATGTTCAAGTTTATATATTACTCCTGGAAATTATTGAAACCTGAATCTTTCCCTCTTTCTCTCAGGTATGGAGTTAATAATTTGCCACTTCCTTATTATTGGACTCTTTAGTTTTAATTTAGGTATGCTATTGAAATAAATACAACTTTTTTTTTTTTTTTTTGGTTATAATCTGATCCTCCTAATTAGATCAGATACATTTGCAAGTGTGCAATGAAAAGTGCAGTTTGAATGAACATTTCTTTCTTTTCAACTGAAAATATCTATTAGTATTGTCAACCCTACTAAATGATGATAAATTTTTACCAAAGAAAATGCTTGATGAAGGACATCCAATTGCAATTGCTTGTTGGAAACCGGCACACAGCACCAAGGGAATTGCTGAAAGAAAATTCTGCTCTTGCAATGTTTTCCTAAGCCTTCACCATTCACTGTTGGGAACAGGAAAGTGGGCAAGACAGATCTTTAATCTGACCACAGTGTTCATATATAGCACACCAGAGGACTATATTTACTTTGATGTAGTAACCACATGTGGCACTCTGTGGGTTACATTCTGTGCTGTCCTTGGATTTTGTGCATGTTCAAACACTGCATGAATATAAAGACTGTGAAGTATTAGAGGGAACTACTAGTAGATACTGTGCCTGTTTAAAAAATCTTTGTGTTAACATTTCTTGTTCTTTGAGATATAAATACAGTCCATTTCCTTATTACTCTTCAGAAAATTTACAGACATTTCCCTATGAAAATGTATTTTTTTTTGGTTACTTTCTAAATTTGACTGAATTTCAAATGAGTGATTTTTCAGCCATTAATTCTTTATATTTATTTCATTTAGGTAAGAAATGGAAACAAGATAATTTGGAATAAAGATACTATTATTTTCTGAATTACACCAAATTTAGCACAGCCATTATACACCACTGTAGTTAACTAAATAGTTTCCTCATTGTTCTGTGTATTGCAGAGGAACGGACACCAGCTGGGAAACCACAGAAAGGACTGGTAGATCCTTACCCAGCCTTTCAAAGAAGGAAAACCACTCGTTTTCTTAAAATTGGAACTCCCTTCTATCAGGACAATCAACTTCAGGTCAAAGTTTACTGGAAGAAGACAGGTTAGTCAAATTTTGCTTTACTATTTTCTCTAAGGAGGACTCTTCCTATCCATCTCAGAGTTGTAGAACATTAACACAATATTATAAGTAATTAATAGTAGAATCCTACACCCATCCTTTCATCCCTTCATCTTCACATTGGAGGGAAACATTGCCTCTCCTCTTTGTGTTATTTCTGTGTGTATGTCTTACAGGAGGAAATGACATGAGTTAGCTATCTAAAAATTATAGTCAGTCATGCTGGGACACTGAATCTTCACAGAGCTGAGACAATTTTTATTTTGGTAGGAATTACCTTTGTAAAGTTTTAAATTGCAGAATTTGACATTACCCACAAAAGTTTTGAGGAACATATGCATGTTTAGCTTTATGCCAAACTTTATCGGTCGCCTTGATTTAGAACAGAATGGATAGTTGGTCACAGCCAGAAAACATTTTGAAGTTAGTTTTCTTCTAGGCTGCATCCTTCTGGTTTTCAGAAAAGTCTTAACAACAATTCTATGATTTATTTTTCCAGTCAAAAGGAAAATGACATAAATTTATAGTGTCTATTCATATTCAGAAATAAAAAAAGTTATTTACTTTCTTGTTGTCTAAGAGCATATAGGCTGCTCCAGTTTAGCCATAAAGGCTTATATGCTGTTATTTCAAAATGTGCTCACACTGTTCATTTTTTTGCTTGGCTCAATCTACATGTGTAGCAATACCACTAAATTAAATCCATTCAATTCTTGTGCTTGAAATCAAGGGCTACAAAGTGAATAGTCATATTTTCATCTTGAATTTTTCAAAGAATTTCAGAATTATTTAAGTGCTTTTGAGTTTAGATGTGTGTGGCATCACCCTGAAAGAGGACAGGCTGTATAAATGTTCAGTTATGCTGTGTAACATAGGAATATGTCACACTGGATATTGTGGATTGTGAGAGGTGTCCTTTGCTTCTTATCCTTTGCCTGCCTTTTTAAATGGTTACCTTCCAGGCCCTGCTATGCCAATTACTTTCAAATCCATCCTTATTCCTCCCTAAAACCTGCAAGCTTTGTTTCAGCTGAGTACGTGCACATTTTGCATATTTGTCCCTGTCTTGGCTATGCTAGGTTTTTTTTTCTTCCTTTCCCCCTTATATTTCATTTTTGGGTTTCTTCATGGAACGCTGGAACAATTTAAAGTTTAAATAAAATTGAGACAATTTTACAAAAAAATGTGGTTTTCGTTACCCAAAGTGAGATTTATATGTTCTGGGCTTTGTCAGGACTGATCACCTTGAACTTTAGCCTCTGCAAGTGAGATGTCAACTCATTGTCCAAGCTTCTTTTATTGCTAGAAAAGAAAAGCAGGTGACTTCTGTAGCAGTCCATCCCCCACAGCAGCAGAATTGTTCTCTGGAGATGCCTCTCTTCTTTACTGAGGACAGAGGGGAGCCTAGACAGCTCATTTGTGGAAACCTTAGAGATGCCTAATGTCTCTCTGTGAGCTGAGGTTCTATTCTTGGCAGTCTGTGCTGAAAAAAATGAGGGGCAGGATTCAAAGATGAGGAGACAAGGATGTCTCCCACAGGCGTCAGACAGGGTTGTGCAACTCACAGTCTGCAGATTCAGCCCAGTGGAACAATCAATCCTGCTGCAGCTGTTTTCCTGCCAGAAGAAAGAGCATGTGTCCTGTGACCAGAATGCCAGCACCCCTACTGACATTCACCTTGTGAATAGTTTGCCAAAGTTAGTTATACTTAATGGAGGGAAAATCCTGAGCAGAACAGCAATATTCTTGTTCCAACACAGATATCTTGAACTAACTGGCCACTATTTATAATGGTATTATAGTTATTGAACTTAGAGGCATTGCACCATAGAAACCTAAATGTTTCCATCTAAATCTGGAGCAGAATCTCACTGTCTGCAACATACCTGAAGGTAATATTTGTATTAAAGGCTATAAATGTCTATAAAAAGAAATAATGCAGTCAGCATCCTTATAGTAACTCAAAGTTTGGAAATTAAAGAATTTAAAAGTGGTATAATTTCCAGAATTGGAGAATGTCATAGACAGCTATGTCACAGACCTGTCAAAAATGACATGGATTTGATGCTGTCACCTTGTTCCAGGGGTGTACTAGCTGAGTTGCTGAGTTGCTGAGTGTACAGTGACTCATCCTGTGTGGAGCTGTGTGCGTCCAGTGACATAAGGGGACACCCAGAAACCCATTTTGGCCCTGGGCAGGGGGCAAATTCTGTGAGGTACACTGGGGTGCTTAGGTACATGCCCCAGCCTCGCAGTGGGAGATGCCTTCCTTTTTCCTGCAGAACAAGCAGTGATAGCAAAGGTGTATGAAGAGAGGCAGAATATGGCAGTTCATCACTCTTACCTTCCTTTTTTTTCTTTTTTAAAAAGAAAATATCAGTATTCTGAGTGACAGCACATGCAGTAACTCAGCAGGAACATTGCCTTGTGTGGAACTGAAATATAGGAGCCAGCAGCTTTTATAAGCTCTTGCAAGGGTTTGGAGATTATGTATTGCATGGATGAGGTACTGTAAATTTGCTAGTAACAATATACTGCAGAGCAGGTCTGTGTGACTGTGCAAGGAACACAGCAGGAAAATCACATTGTCTTCATGAAAAACAGCAGTTACTGGGACAGCTGTGCTGGGAACTGAACCCACACATCTTTCACCTTTATGAACTGCACTAGATTGTGTTTAGGGACTTGTAGGAGGTAGCAGAGTGCAGCAACTATAATAGGAGATACTGAAAGAGACCTTACCTGAGCCTGCTCAGTGGCATGGCATCTGTTTTTATTGCAGCTAGGCAATTAGAGTTCTAATAGTTCCTGACAAAAAAATTGATGTGTTTGTCTCCTACATAGTGGGTGAACACAGAAGTCTCTGTTGTTTGCACTAATGTTCTCATTTTTGTGTAGTTTGCTATTAAAAATCAACATTTTTTTTGGTGGAGAAACACAGCCATTCTATAGTCCTAAATTAGAATGTGTAACTTTAAAACAGAAAAATTAAGAGGCCAGCATGAAACCATGTGAAATAAGTAGGTTGATAAGCATAAGAGTTAACATGATAAAAAAAATTAAAGAAATAAATGTCTCAAGATTAAACATGTTGGACATTTGTAAATTGATCAAATTTCAATTGGTTGTAGTAGTCTTTGCTTTGTCTTGTATAGTTTTCAAGTAGTTTTGGATTTTCTGTGTTAGACTTCATAACATGAACAGGATGTGGTTGCAGAGATGATGAAATAAAAAAATGTTATTTAGATTTTGGATGGGGTTTTTATTAATATGAAGATTTAAAGCAGTATATTATCACAGAATTGCAGAATGGCTGGGTTTGGAAGGGATCTCTGGAGATGATTTAGTCCAAGCTCTCTGCTAAACCAGGTTCACTTGGAGTAGATTGCACAGGATCACATCCAGGCAGGTTTCAAGTATCTGCAGAGAAAGAGACTCCACAACCCTTTTGGGCATCCTGTTACACTTGTTTTGTCACCATCACTTAGATGAACTTTACTCTGTTTCAGTTTTTGCACATTGTCCCTTGCCCTGCCCCTGGGCACAGCTGAAAAGACTGTGGCCCCACCTTCTTGATACCCATCCTTAAGACCTTTGTAAGCATTGATAAGATCCCCTCTCAGTCTCTCTTCTCAAGGCTGAATGGGCCCAGCTACCTCGGCCTTTCTTCATGAGAGGCTCCAGTCCCTCAGTCATCTTTGCCCTCCACTGGACCAGCTCCAGGAGTTCCATATCCCTCCTGTGCTCAGGATTCCAGAATTGGACACAGCACTCAGATGTGGCCTCACCAGGGCTGAGCAGAGGGCAGGATCACCTCCCTGCTGGCAATGCTCTCCCTAATGCCCCCCAGGTTCTCCCTGGCCCCCAGGACCCACTGCTGGCTCATGGACAGATGGCTGTCCACCAGCACCCCCAGGTCCTGCTCCACAGAGCTGCTTTCCAGCAGGTCACTCAGTCTGTGCTGGCACAGAGGGCTGTTCCTCCCCAGGTGCAGGACCCTGCCTTTGCTGAAACTTTGTTCAACCCTACAGTTGCCCTTGTTATGTTGAAATTGTTTCCTTTAGCTGTAATGAAAACTTTATTAGCTGCTATAACAGCAGTCTTTCTCTTAGTACTTTTCTATATTAATAACTGCTCAGTTTTTTATTGTATTCCTAATTCAGTGGTCATACCATTCTATGCAGACCAGAGATTTTCTAATTTTTTTTTAATTTCTTCCTAAATTAAGATGGCTCTGTAGAAGAGTTTTTTACTGTGTCCCAACACTGTAGCATCACCACAGGATACCACAGATTACAGAAACAGAAGGAAAAACCTGTGTGGATTGCTTATATCATTTAAAGAAACACAAACATGCTCCCAAGGTTGTTTTAGATGATTTCTTTATTTTCATTGGTCCCATTTTAGCTGAGAAGCTATTTTGCTTTTGAATTTGAATCATTTTACTCAGTCTAAGGAGCTAAATATAGGTCAGTCATAGAAGAGTTTAAATGGGCAGGAGGGACTTCTGGAGGGCAGCTGGTGCAACCATCTGCTCAAAGTCAAACTAACTGTGAAGTTAAATCAAGTTATTCAGTTCTGTCTGTAAGGCCCTGTAACAGATAGTGTCACTGTTTTTTCAATCCATCCTCCATCAATACAAACCTGCAGAGGCCATCCATGTGTATTGCAATGTGCCTTATGACTTACAGAAGGTATGGTGATGTCTCTTGACTATTCAAAGACAGTTCTTCCATGACTGAAGATGTTTTCCTCAGTGAACTTTGCAGATGAGCCTCTGGGAAGGCAGTGAAAAGACCACAGTGATGCCATCAGGGCCAAAGCTCTCAGTTTTATATCATCCTTCTAAACAGAATTCATCAGACCTCTGTCCTGTGCAACAACTGCATCAGAGGGGGTGTTGCAAACTATTATTGAACTAAACTATTGCTGAGTTTCTTATACAGCAAAAGAGTGACTGCATATCAGTACTCAGAAACTGA